GAAGTTGCAAAGATGAAACGCTGTCAGACTTCGACCTGTGGCCATCACACAGAGCATGGAATGTAAGGGTATTCCCAGCACAGAAACTGGAAAGGGCACAGATTATGTTTCACCTGTAGAAGAACTGAACTTGTCCTTTGCAAATGAAGACATTTTGTTCTGTGAGAAGGTGTCTTTGACATTTACTGAGAGCTGCTGGGGACAGGTGATCTTTGTGTCACATTTTAGGGTTAGGGATTCCCCCAGACCTGTAACAGACGTGCTCTGTTAACCCCTTTCCTCCTCAAAGGGGAAGATAAAGAGAATAAGGGAGAGAGACTTATCAATTAGAAAAGAAAACAGCTTTAATAAAAATACTGCTACTACTAAAATGGAATATATATGAATATATACAAACCCAGTATTGAACCCAGCTCCCTCTGACAGCAACTCGTCACCATCACCCCCGATGCTGGGGAGCAGACCCTGAGGAGAAGTCCCAGGCTGGACTCAGCAGCAGGTGGCAGCTGGGTACTGATCTGGATTCTGGACGGAGCCCTCCTCAGATGCGGCCGTTGGAGAAGGAGCAAAAAGAGAAAAGGGGCTTGACCCTCGTGTTCCTCAGCTTTACACCGAATATGAGGGACATGGGATGGAATGCCCCACGGTTCAGTTCAGGGTCACCTCTCCTGTCCACAACTCCCTGCATGTGTGGACTTTCATTTCTGCCCCCCTCAGAGTGGTGCACAGGATTTATCAGTGACCTCGGTCTGCACACCAGTCCTTGGTGTACCTCTGAACATGGGGTGTTGCCACTGCTAGAAGCAGACACTGCAGAAATCTGCTGTCAGGCCCACAAAGTGCAGTTAGTTAGAAGAGACCAAGCTGAAAAGTAAAATCACAGAACAGAATTTGTTCTGTTCTACCCCAAACCAGGACTCTTTGTCATCTCTGGAGACTGGGATGGAGAAGACTGCAACAGTATGATTACTTCACAGTACTGTAAGATTCAGGAGTTCTATAGTAAATAAAATAAATGAAGAAACATTCCACTTAATTTATCTTTTATTTGATCCTTATCATATATTTTCCTGCTTGACATTTCAGTTAGTACATTTTTTCCTGATTTTTAAAATCAGGTATTAGAATTTATCTTAAGATTTTTGCAATCAGTTTTTGCTATTGGATTGAGATGTTCATCTTTATTTGCAGAAAGTCATGTAAGTACTGGGGACTAAAGAGAGTGATCCTTCAAATTGTAGAATTTAGTAGTCACAAAAAAAGGCTACAGAACGCTTGAACTTAATTTTTCAACTATCAAGAAATTAATTTAAAAAAATATCAAAAGATCAGAATAAAGACAAGCAATTGAAAAAAGCCCTAGCTTTGCAATGTGTAGGGAAAGGCTTATGTTTCCTACCAAAATCACAAGCAATAGAATCATTTCACTGAAAACATAAAATAGAATATTCTAATTTCCAAGATACACCTTAATGGGTCTTGAACTGATCTAACCAAAACAGTTCACCTGACTTGCTAATTAAGTTACATTTGCAGTAATGCAAAATTTAGACATGTAGCCATAGAAGGGTTTGAGTTGGAAGGGACCTTTAAAGGTCATCTAGTCCAACCCCTCCCTGCAGTGAGCAGGGGCATTTTTAGATCTGGTTGCTCAAAGCCCAGTCCAGCCTGCCTTTGAATGTGGGGTATCTAACACCTCTTTGGGCAACCTGGGCCAGTGTTTTGTCACTGTCATCGTAAAATCCACCCTCTTTCAGTTTAAAACCATGACCCCTCGTCCTGTCACAAAAGGCACTGCTAAAGTCTGTCCCCATCTTTCTTATAGGTCTCCTTTAAGTACTGAAAGGCTGCAGTAAGGTTTCCCCCCCAGGGCCTTCTTTCCTCCAGGCTGAACAACCCCAGTTCTCTCAGCCTTTCTTCATAGGTGTTCCATCCCTCTGATCATTTCTGTGGCCCTCCTCTGGACCTGCTCCAACAGGTCCATGTTCTTGTGCTGGGCACTCCAGAACTGGTCACACTACTCCAGGTGAAGTGAAGCCTCACCAGAGCAGAGGAGCAGAATCACTTCCCTTGGCCTGCTGGCCACCCTTGTTTGATGCAGTCCAGGATGCAGTTGGGCTCCTGGGCTGTGAATGCACCTTGCCAGCTCACGTCCAGCTTTTAATCCGTGAGTACCCCAAACTCCTTCTCAAGACTGCTCTAAATCACATCATTCCCCAGCCTGCACTGATAACAAGAACTGTCCTGACCCAGGTGCAGGACCTTGCACTGGGCCTTGCTTAACTTCATGAGGTTCACCCAGGCCTCCCTCTGAAGCTTGTCCAGGTCCCTCTGGATGGCATCCCATCCCTCTGTCATGTCAGCTGTACCATTCAGCCTGGTGTCATCTGCAAACTTGCTGAGGGTGCATTCAATCCCACTGTCTATGTCATTGATGAAGATATTAAACAGTACTGGTCCTAATACATACCCGTGAGGGACACCATTTGTCACTCATCTCAACCTTATCAGTTGGCTTATCAGTTTATTATCACCCTCTCGATGCAGTGATCCAGGAACCAGTTCCTCTTTGACCGAACAGTCCACCCGTCAAACCTCTCTCTCTCCAATTTAAAGCAATGTTTGAGCCAAGAGCATAAAGCAAGTGAGGTTCTTAGGTCCAGTATTGCCATGAGGGATGTTCCTACAAAAGATTTAAAAAATCCATGTTTGTTGCTTCTCTTTAAGCATTTTTTACTGATACACTTAAGATAATTACATGTATCAGCCAATAATGACTCATATGAGTCCATGTTAGAAACTGTCTTGATATGTTGAATGTTACATATGAAATTGTGTATGAACAGTGTAATGTGCCAGAAGTATTTTACTCCCATCAGTAAACTCAGCTTGTTTACGTTACAATAAACAAGAGACAGAATTTGTTCAAAAACTTTTATTTACTATAAAGACAAAAAAACACCAAAATAGGTACAAATTATACTATATAAAATTGGTTCAATGGGGTAAAAACTTTTAATTAAAATATCTTGATATATTTAAAATAACAAAGGATAAAATGAAGCCCAATTTCTTAACCCAGAGATTTCTGTAAAATTTGCTTGCACAGTAAGGTGCTAATAGAAGTTAGCCCTTAAGCCCTGGAAGTCTTAGGAATCAGTCACATAGCAAATATAATTTCATTGTGAAAGTGAACTTTGGTAGAAGAAACTCTATAGGACACCTGAGGTAGTAGAAACTGGAATAAACAGCAGTAGACGTTATTTACAACTTAAGTACCAAATAACATTAAGGACAAAAACATAATTACACAATACAATTTTCAGTCCAGCTTTGATCCAAAGAAAATAAGAATATTACATCACATCTGCATTTTAAAAACACCACAGTTACCAGCAAGCTGAGGGAAACGCAAACAAACAAATGCATTTGGACATCTAGAGGCAGTTTAAGTTTGAAATGTGGTAGGCATGGTGATCTACAAAGTAATACTGATTAGCTGAGGTTCATCAGTTTATACAATTTACATTTCTGCCAGAAACAGCATTAATCTGACAACCGATCTTCCAGTATAGGAATTGGCAAGAGTGCATTCTTAAAGCTTGCACGTAAGAAAGACTTGGAAACAATCTTATTAGAACGAGAGATTCTAAAGTGGTAAAAAAAAAGGAAAAAAGTCAAGTAACAAAACAGTTAGAGCTACCAAACTTCACATTTCAGTATTACCTTTTTAACTCTTCAAAGTCTGCCAATCTTCCAAAACAAAGGAATGTAAATTTTCCGAAACACTTTCACAACTAATGACACTGCTGTTTTTTTTTTTTTTTTCCTCTTAGTATGAGCACTATCATTTCTGTAAACTTACCTTTAAGATGTTCTCCTTCCAATTTGTATTGTACATTTTTAATGTACCATAGCTTATTTAGTTTGTCCTGAGTCTTTGAAAATAACCAATTCTATTTCAATCCAACAGTCCGACTGGCTTCTGAAGAGTTAAAACATGAACAGTTTTTTTTTTCAAATGGATTAAACACCATCAGTATTTGATTTAAAAAATATCCCCTTTTTAAAAAAGCAAAAGAAAAGCTGCCATTTTCCTTCAGAATTACATGCATCAGAATCCAAAAACCTGACTTTAAAATAATTTTAAAAATCTGTTTAAAAAAATCCCCACACACCTGCTAAAAAACCACAAGTTTTGCACTAAAGGTGAAGCTTTAATTCACATTTTATTGTATCTTGCTTTTCAAGTCCAAGTTTATTTCCTGTTAAAATAAATACCTTTCTTACTGTAATATTTTTAACATTTTCAAATGATTACAGAAAATAGATGATGTACAGCAGAAGGAAAACAGCAGGTAGAACTTATCAGTAGACACCCTGACCTCTGTTACACAAAGAATGAGATTTCCTTATAGTTGGCACTTGCTCCCACTTAAGTTCAGGACAAAGTCTCACACAGACTTTAACAGGAGCTGGGTTTGAGGCCTAGGATGTGAAACTTCTCTACACAATTTAACAGAAGTTGCTATGTGAAAAGAAGGCTCAACAACTTGTAGCATGATTCAGACAAAGTTGCTTTATGCAGAACAATCTTGGTTCTTCTATTTTGTTGTTTAAATAACCTATACAATCAGTGTTGCCACCTTGTTAAAAAGTGGCTTTTTTTTTTCCAGATTTCTAGCAAATCTGGTTTTAAAACTCGTGTCAGCAATATGTTCCATGACACAGTTTGCAGCTTTTTCTATAGACTATTTCAAAAGATCCCCTTTGTTTTAAAGTTAAAAATACAATGAAAACAAACTTTAATTTCTCAAGACATTACATGGCCAGCAGTAAATGCACAGTGAACTACAACTGCCTGCTTTTACTTTAAAGAAGGCAAAACTTTTTTTTTTTTTTTTTAAAGTATCCATCAATGTTTGGATTCGTTACTCAGAGAAGTCTGTAACTATAAGGGACAGATACAGAACTTTCTTTTAAGGAGTGCTGGAAACTTACTAACTGCAGAATCCTCTCCTTACATCTACATGATGTGAAATTGAACTGTGATTGCTATATTAAATAAGGTCCTGAGCCTCTCAGCTGCTAATATTGCAGAAAAAGTGCTCCAAATAAAAATCGCTTATCCGCTAAGCAATCATGCAGATTTAAGGAAAAACGTGTTGTGTTCACATAGAGCCAGATGTTTGAAAGGCACAGTTTACAAACCTCTGCACGAGTTGCGAAATGTTGCATACTGAGCTTAGGTAAAGGTCTCGATTTGTCAATCACATACTTAGGTAGGGCCCTCCACTGGCCTTAAGTCCTTGATGTATCTGCCATTAAGGCCGGCAGAACAATATGATTTGCTGTGCTTAACTGCACTGCTAGACAGTTATTGTAGATTCAGTAGCATCTTCTTCCTGGCACCAGCCTCACAGGTGAGTGGCTGGCTACCACGCGGTACGGAAGACGGGGTGTTTCAGCAGCTCCCTCGACGGGGGTCTGTCCTGAGGCTGAAGTTCTAAACACCGAAGAGTCACATCTTTCAAGCCAGGAGACAGATGTGTAGGGATCGATGGAGCAGTAGTTGCACTGGCAATCTAAACGAAGGGAAAACAACTTTTTAGAAGTCAGTCAAGCACTTTCTCCTACCCCAAAAACCTTCCAAAGCTGGTCATTATCAGCTGACAAGTTGTATGTATGAGCTTTTCTCCACTTAGCGTATTTCCTACTGCAGTTTGAAGATTACGTTACTGTTTCATTTCACAGAATGAAGCTGCCCCTTAGGCCTGTTGCCTTTCAGTCTGCCCCTCTCCTTGCGCTTCTAAGTTTTCTTCTTATAGCAAGATCTGCAGTGAACATCAGCTGAGCAGGCTGTAAGGAAAGCTCGTATGCCATATGTGAGGCTATTCTTTAATCTCTTAGTTTCCATCACTGTTAACTGCCATAAGCCAAGGTGGAGATCTGTTAAGGTGAGCAATGTTATGCTTTGATCAGTTAAACTGGGTATGCTCTCTTGCCTTGCCTCTGCTGTATTTCTGCTACCACCCCAAAGGGCAACCGCAGATCACAGATCACTCCCAAATTAATTTTTATCTTCTCCAGATCAAGTTAAGCAAGACGACTGAAAACACTGGAGTAGCACTACTATATTCACACAGACAGACAATCAATACAATGATCTCTGTTATCATGAATGATTTGTACTTAATCAGAACATATTTGAATACTGCTGTGTTAGTTCTTCCATGGGCACACTTTCTTCACCCATGATAGTGAAAATGCTAATAACTTTCTTCACTTGAAGCAGCAGTTTCTTCATTAATGCCTACAGTTCAACTTGACTTTACGATTAAATACCCTGAATTGATTTTAGTAAGGAACATGAATGCCAAAACAGATGACCTAGAAAAGGGAGAGGCAATAATCATATATACCATGACATAATGGTAAATATCTTTTAGCCAAGTCTGAATGAGGACCATCAGCTTTTTACCAAAGAACACTTCCCCACTATGAAATGTAAATGCACACAGAAATGTTTTATGGTAGAAAAACTTCTTTTGCTCCCGCATTTTACAGGATTGTAAGAAAGAGGTTAAATCCTAATCTTCTGTCTAGAGTCAAGATCAACTCTACTCAAAATATTTTTTTTTTTTAAATTCCTGTTACACTACATATTTGTATCTTAGAATGGAGCTTTTTCTGCATATTATTGTGTGGGTAATCTTTTTGTGTTTTTAAACAAGCAAATATGATTTTGCAGATATCATTAATTTTGTACTAACAGCTGCAATATAAAGAAAATCTGTTGCGACAACCCCTACACCTTGTATACTTTTCTAAAATTCACACTGCTGCATATGAAGTTAGTCAGTACCTTTTGCATCATATCAGTAGCAAAAAGATACCTCACCTTAAATATCAGAGCAAGATGATTGGAGTGTTTCTCTGCATTCCACGGAGGCTTAGCACAAGCCATTTCTATAACAACACAGCCAACGCTCCACACATCACAGCTCCTGCCATACTGCTGACCCCTCAGAACCTGGACAGATGGACCAAAGCTCAGGTTATCTGCTTCAAAGTCTCTAAACTCTAGGTAATTTAGTTGCAAAAAAATTAGTCAACTGAGTGTGTTCTGATTAATATTTCAGGTTGAGACAGTGATCAGTGATGTAAAAGCCGTTAAGATTTATATAGCTGTAGAGAGTTAGGAAATAAAATGCTTGTTCAAGGGACAAATAAAGTACCTTGCAACAGTTAGCTTTTGACCAAATGGTCATTTGGGCTTTAGGAACAATACTTATCACAGATAATCCTTTAAAAAAAGCTACTTAAAACAACTTCACCAGTGAGAAAGAAATGTCATTTACAGTATGTTGGAACCATTACTATTCTTCAGAATAAATACTTTTAAAACATAGTTGAAGCATTTCAACAGTTTTGTGTTATTTGGCTGTATGAATTAGCTTAAAGAGTTCCAAAACTTTTTCAAGTAAATTCCAAAACTGGTTTCTTACCTCCGGTGCCATAAAGGCAATAGTTCCCAACAACTGTCCCTGAAACTCCCCAGCACCTGTTCCTTTTGATGCCAACCTGGCTGCAGCTCCAAAATCAGCAATTCTTAATCTATGACCTGTGCTGTCAATTAGCAAATTGGCACCTGTCAACAGCATAATAAAAATACTGCTAGTTGGTTTTCCATTAAAGGCAAAAGGATCAATAGACACTCTTCCTCCCCTCCATTTCAAAACTATAAATAGGCTGATGTTCCGCACCCCCAATATCAAGGAAATCCAAAAATCAAGGACAAAGTCTAATCATGTCACTTTTCTGTTATGCGTGAATGATACTGCACACAGCCTGAGGCCATTCAAGAGATTTAGAGAAGCAATCAAAGTTTCAAAGTAGAGCAAACACAGGATTCTGGAACAATGCCTGGAGATGGAACAATGAAAGAAAATGCCGACCTAACACCCTGGAGGTTTTCACTGGCTGCAGCTCCCTGTGATACTTAAACTTATTTCATCCATAAGCAGCTTTGAGGATTCTTGAAGAGAATTACAGAAGAACTGAAAATTTTCCTATTTTAAGAAGAAGTATTCAAGACAAATATTTGCCATCATCATGTTGCTACTTATGTGGATATCTCTCTGGTTCGTGGGCAGGTACAGTGACAGTAATGGGAAAAGTTTTTTCCCCAATAGAGTCCACATTTTGCTCAGACACAGTACAATGGTATTTGTGTTCAGTTAGGATGAAAGAAGAAAACTTAGCTCAATACTCCTATACATTAGAAAGCTGGCCTGTTTATCTTGGCTTGTTCACAGATTTTACTATCACTTCAGTGTACACATTTACATTAATTTAGCCAGCAATCTTTAAGCTATATTTCAACCTCATATTTTGTTTGAACAAACTGAGAAAAAGACCGATTTTTCTTAACTATCGGCACAGGTAGCAAATATCTCCAAGCATGCTATGAACATTCTGACTAATTTCAGTAATTAAAGGTTCTTAAGAATGACCAAACCAAATAAAAACACCACTCTTGAAATGGTATCTGAAAGAAGCATAGGTTTCAAGCCAAAATAGATGCTGCTTTCTAGATATTCCTTTTAAGAAGATGTTTTAAGTAATTCTCACCTTTAACATCTCTATGGATTATCTGATTCTCGTGGAGGTAAGAAAGGCCACGTAACAGTTGTTCTGTGTAATTAATAATAACCGATTCTTTGAAGGCTCCATATTTACTTAACAAATGAGCAACCGAACCTCCTAGAAGATAAAAAACCTCACATTTTATCAACACTTACATTTTGTATTAGAATGCAGCATTGCCTCCTTTTTGAACTTGGTATTGTTACACTGAATTTGTAGGTAGATTTCTGCCCACCTCAAAACCACAGAAAAGTTTCATAGGCAAAAAGTAACATACTAGGCTACTTAACTGCTTTCTGTGTAGAATTATACATGTTAAAGCATAAGTCTTCATGCTTCCTGATAATTTTATACTTCCGTAAAGACAATGTACAAATCCCGTAGTGTACAAATTACTGTTGCTGATAAATTGCACATATTTATCCACATTTTGCATTAACGTTTAAGCAGCAGAACACTAGTGGACACTAGAACACTAGAAACCACTGCTTTCTTTTACAAGAAATAATGATGTTTAAAACACAAAATCAAGTCTTGGTAACTGGATGGAAACAACATATGATTACATTCATAAAATTTATAAAGCTCCTTTTTAAAAAAAAAGGACGGACCTTCTTACTCCAGCTCTATGCAATAATGATTTCACTATTTTTTACTAAATTACCACTTAATATGTTTAAGATTTGAACAAGTTTTTCCTGAAGCATCCTGCTTCTTACCTATTATTAGAAATTCAATTCAAGTTCTTAAAGGCATTTGCAAATTGCAAACCACCTCATAATTTTTATGAAAGTGCTTGGGTCAAAAACAAGTACCCCAAACTTTCTAGCAAAGATGCTTTTAGCAACAGCTTAAAGTTATTAACTGATGCAATACCTACAGCCACTTCAACTGTTCTGTAGTACACCTTTACGGCAGTTAGAACAGCAAGGAAAACACAAGTTTGCCAGCTGAAGCGATGCAGAATGCAGCATGAAGCTACACAGTTCAAGACACAACTGATATTTCCCTTCTGTTTGGCACAGTAGCTGTTTACCTGCCATCCATTCAATAAAGAGGTTATAGTTGCTCTTCTCACACGTAGCACCCAACATTCGAATGATGTTAGGATGGTTCAGATGACTCATCATCCTTATTTCTTCTCTCAGTGCTTCAACTACCTCCTCTTGCTCAGATGAGGTGTTCCTGACATACGTCACCTGTTTTGAAACACGGTATTCAGCCTCACCTTCCATAGCTACCAGTCCTGCAAACCCTCCCCGCCCCCCTTCAGTACAGGAACAAGGATGGATGGTTTTCCATCCCTTTTCACTACCCAGAAATAGCAAATACTGTTTTATCAAGGTCACTCTGCTGAGAATGTATCTCCATGTGAGATAATCATAGAAAATAAAGAGTGATCTTCTAGGGAAATACCAACAACAACCTCTCAAAATACATAGTGAAGAAACTTTCCTTCCTCTTCACTCTGCTTAAACCAGGAGCAAAAAAAATTGTTTCTTTTTTCAGATGTTGAAGAAAAGGAATAAAGCTAAGGCCTGACATGGGATTCTGATGGTGTTATTCGTAAGATTTTTAGTATTTTAACTAGACTATCTGTTTCATAACTAAAGCTCTTATACCAGAAATTCAGTAGGGAGGTCAGGGTGGGGCAGAAAGCAGATCTGATGTCCTGCAATGCCTCTAGAGCAAGCTGCAGCCCTGCTCCGTACTACATCTGAAGTAGTCTTCTGCAGAGAATGGTCCCAGGGCATCAGAATCACTATATCAAGTAATTTAAATATTAAAAATACATGTCCCAGAGGGGGTTGTTGGGTCAGAGGAAACAAGCATTAAACTATGCTTCTTCCACCTGGGTAGTTTTAGGGGAAAAAAAAATCTAGACAAGTACGGGGAAACTACATTTAGTAACTACCTTGCAAATAGGGCATCAATTTGGAATCAAGAGATCTGGACTCTTTGCTAACGCTATCACTGATTTATGAACTTGATAAAAGTAAAAATGCATTTGAAGAACAATGAAAGAAAATGGGCATATTAAAAAAAGTTTACTTTGTTTTTTTTTTCATTTTAAGGAAAAGTAGAAAAAATGTGAATATCACACACAAAGACTCTTTATTATGAATTATGTGACAACTTGACAGGGAGCAGAGGAAGGAAGGAATTCAAGAACTCAGTGAGAGCAGACAGGTTTTATATTTAATAATCCAAAGAAATATTGAAGAACAAGCAAAATATAATCAAGAAGCAAAGTATTTGGAGTGTTCACCTGTTTTACAGCCATTAATGTCCCCGTTCCTACATCTTGAGCTTGGTAACAGGAAGAGAAAGCTCCAAGACCAATTTGCTGACCTTTAAGCCATTCTGCATCTTCTCTGTAATGGTGTTTTGCTTTGGTATGTCCAGGCAGGGTTTCTGGTGTCTGCAAATTAAATCCCAAATCAATTCCATATTTACTAGCTTGCATCTAAAATGTAGACATTCTAGGTGGTTATGAAATATCCAAGCTTATAGGCCCCTCCTCTCCCTTACAGCTCTTTGCACTGCATGTTACACGTTTCAGGTGCGACCAGAACACCAGAGCATTCCGTAATCCACGAACTCCCCCTGCTGGTAAGCACAGAGAGGAGAGCCTGCTCTGCCTTACTACCCGAAGGTGAAAGGCAAGACAGAAACAGAAGCAAGACTGGTTTTCCTATTCATGACCTCACATCTAGTTAAGGTTTTAATTAGCACCTACAGTAAACAACCAAAATCACGTTGTTTTCTACTTAATCTATTTCTTCTGTTTTATGCTTCACTTGCTACCTCATACAAAGGACCACAAATAAAATACTACTTGCTTTATTCGTATGGCTAGTACTTTTGTCTATTTGGCAACAAAAATTTTTTTCTGACATCTGAAGTATCTCACATCTTCTCTCTCAAGACGTGCTGACAACAGGACCGCTTCCAACTCTGCCTTTTCTTTCAGAAACTAGTTTGGTTTTGTATAATTGCCTTCAAAATAAATCAGCATTAAGACTCAGAACAGTTCTACTCGTGCTTAAAAGCTTTGTTCTCATTTCCTGGTTTCCCCACTTTTACCCTTCACACTTTGCCATTTTGAAGGTTTGACATGACATGATGTTTCTCTTCCAAATACCTTCTCTAAACTTGTTAGTGACTGTGGAAAGATCCTGTTAGCACCCTCAATCGGCTGTTTATACTCTGAGTCTTGGGACAGGGTGTGGACTACCTTTGTGTTTTGTATTACTTTGGAAATAAAGCATCTCTGTTTTACACTTTCAGTAAGCCTCAGTTGAGGCCTATGCTAAATTCCCATACGCATACTTTTGAATGATTACGATATCTTCACCGTTTTTGACCTGTAGTTGGGGAATTATTGGCAGGGCATCTTGAGACGCTGACATTGCCATGGCAATAGCTAAAGCTTCCTCCTCTTCTGCTTCCATCTTTTCCTTGCATTTTTGATTGTGATTTACATCATCTTTGTAAGTATCATCATTTTCTGCCCGCTCAGGAGAAAGAACGGCAACTTCAGACTTGAATGTGACTGTGCCATCACTCATTGGCATGGAAGCCTCGAGCAGGTCCTCAATACTGGAATTGAGCTCTGCATTAACATCCAGTCGACACTTCTCATCTACCGGTGTGAACACCGTCTCTTCACTCGGTATAACTGCGTCACTGCTGCTACCACCCTGGCCATCACACTGCGAAATATCACTCAGGTCAAGCTTCATACTGTTTTTTAAGGTTTCTCCCTGCCTGTTCACATCACTTGGAGTGGGTCGTGACGGCTTTGGCCTGTGTATGTGACTGGATGGCAGTGGCCTGGCTTGGGTAAAAACTGGAGAGAGTTTCTCTGGTTCTTTATTTTCAGAGCAGTTCCTCTGAAACTGGATAGAAAGCTTCCGCTGTGTTTGAGGAGAAGGTGAGGGGATTTTGCAGGGAACGAATCCCTGAGGTCTGGGCTTAGAAACATCTGTTACAGTGCCAGCTGGTACAGATGGGTTTGAAGGAGGCAGAAGTGTGGGGAACAGCGACTGGGAATGACTAGATGAGGGAGAAGAGTTCAAACACTGACTGTGGGGTTTTCCTTTTGTTTGAATGGCTGGCTTTGGTTGCTCAGTGGTTACTGATGAAACAGGAGGTCCCACAGCAAGGCCAGCCAGCGTCTCAGAAATGTCCTCTGGACTGGCACTCTGTTTTTTATCACTTAAACCTTTCCCACTTTTCCCTGATAACTGGACAGTATTGTTAGGAGTATTACTTTCTGTAGCTTCTGGAGAGTTATCTGGTACAGGTAGCTGCAAAAAGTCTTCGTGTCGACATTCCCCAGAGTGCAATTCTTCCATGCCTAGCTGGATGGCTTCTGCAATTTCCATTTCATCTGCTATTGCCATCAGACGTCGACGCATCCTTGCATAATGAGTTGAGCTTGTCACACTCAACATTTCCAACAGCTTTACAAAAACATGAGGCACTCTTGCAACCATTCTTGCTGCACTCAAAAATACTCTCCGTGATAGTTTACCGACCATTGAGTGGGAATTGTCAATTGACTGCAAGGCGAAAGTTAAGAGAGAGAGAAGTTTCTTATACCTGAAAAAAGAAAAGAGGCATTTTTAACACTGGTAGTGTTTAGGCAATTAGTGCCAAGAAAGCCATTTCAAGACGATGTATTTAGCTGCCAGTTCTGCAGTAGAAAGGAGGCTTACTGGTGCGCTGGTGCTTCAAAATTGATTCACAGCTTGTAAGTTTTAAAAGAAGGCAACCATCTACTCCATAAATTAAGTGCACCTTTGCATATAAACACGTTATTTATTTACAGAAATTAGAACTTTTTTTTTCCCACAAAATCACCAACAAAATACTCAACTACCAAGAGTACTAGTCACATAGTGCAAGCAAGTACCTGTCTACGATGGTATCAGCCTGTAAAACATCTCCACTGACAATGTGGGGATAAAATTCACCAGGAAATTCCAATAGAAGTCTGTCAATTAGACAAAGTCTCCCCAGTAGCGCTTGCCAGTTGCTAGATTCGGTTTGGGTTCCAAGAATACAGTTTAAGACATAATCAACACCACCAATACCAATGGACCCTATTAAAAAAAGTTGACAGAACAAGGATTAGATAAGTTCACAATCTAAGTTCTGATATAAAGAAAGATCAGAACTGCATCATACAGAAATATACGTTGTGTGCCCAAGGTATCCCCCTCCCAAACTACTGAGAGAAATTCTGTTCTCTTTGCCATGCCGATATTGGATAAAAGCTGTATTGGATTTAAATCACTTCAGTATGTTTATTTATAATTCAAGCATATATGAAGAGCTATTATTACCAGATTTAAGTATTTCTCTCCCAACTGCCAGCTCGCCTGCTTGACCTTTACACATCTCCAATAGCGTTGAGACTGAAAGTTGACTTGTTCGACTACAATAAATTAAAACCAAAAAATAACTCTTTTAGCAGATGTTTTCAAGGAAAAACATTCTAATCATTTTATTTCAATAATTATTAGCTTGGAATTTTCTGTGGAAAATGATCAGCACTTCATTTCAATATATTTTTGTAATCCTTTCTCTGTAAGCTATCAGCAGCTGCGACATTCCTTACAAGGATCCCTCCAGAAACGTAACATCACTAATAAATAAACAAAAACACAGAGATAAGACCTCATCCTCTTGCAAGAACAGGCCAAAGCTGGGAATCCAGCAACACAAGGCACATTTTTATTTCACTTATTCCTTTAATTTTGGATATTCTATTGCTAGACTATTGCTGTGGCATCTCCATCTGCAGTGTCAGAGAAACGATGCTTAGGAACTCAACCTAAAGAGACAAAAGTCGAGCTGGTGGAATTCTGCGTCTTGTTTACAGCACAGGTGAAGAAATGGCTGGTCTGGCAGAACAAGCACGGTAGTTTGGGACAGGAAGACAAGGGCTACTCAAGCTAGAAATGCTGAAGACATTCACTCAGCATACCCACCTCCTAACATTACACAGTGAAATAGGAAGTGTCATGTTAACACTTCATGGCAGTTATTCAACAGCTTTTGTTGAAGCAGGAAACATACATTGTAGGTACTTGCTGAAGGATACTTGGCTTACTGCTTAGAGGTGGGTCATAAGAGTTAGACTTAAGCAATATCAGCTGAGATGTGAGGGGATAGCTGATGACTGCATCTAACATCTTCCTTTATTTTAAGGGGAGAAGAAAAGGCCTTATGAAAGCTAGGTGTCATTTAAGATCTGTAAGTGTTGGAAAAATAATACCATTTGCCTTCAAAACCAACATCTTTCAAGCCAGAAGTTTGTTGGTAGCAATTAGACTAGGAAAAGCATGATATATTTGTACTTATGATCCACACATTACACCAACTGTAACTGGTTGCCTAGTTCCACATGAATAGGGACAAATGAAGCTTCGAGACACTTCAGTAACACTCCAAAGTGAATTTGAAGTTCATGAGACAACATACATACCTGTTGGCATCTGCACATTTAACTAGTATTGTCTCTACAACTGGCTTGAGAAGTCTCTGTAGTTTAGTCCTCTCTGCCAAAGTATGACAGGGTGTATATACCAGCATAGCTCTTAAAGTTTTCTAAGGGAAAGGAAAAAAACAATACATATGAAATCAAATTAGTCACACAACTGTCAGTATTTTTAAAAAGTTGTAAATAGTTTTATATAAAGTGTACTCCAAATATGAGTGAGGTGTTCAGTGGATAAATAGCTTGCTATATATTTATTGTTAGAACTTCTCAAAGAATACATGACATTGGAAGCAATCTAGTCACACCAGTACTGTTAAAACTTAGCACTGTGGCAAGCATTTCCTTACACTTGGCCGGTGGAGTCATGCCACTTGCACTCTTGCTGAGGATTTTGTTCACTCCACTTTCAGGTGATGGTTAAAAGTTGCCATTGGTGGTGCTCAACAACAATTACTAGGATTTCTGACTTTATCTTCTCCCTTCCCTTCCCCTTCAAATATTAAATAACTTTGAAATTACTAGAATACAACGAGTAAACAACTACTTACTAAAGCAGCAACATACACTTTGTAGACAGGGTCAGCACAGACCATGGACAGCACACTACAGCAGGATTCCACCACCACATCTCCTGAGACACTGGTCTGAGATGATCCACTAGCTGCTCCCAGAGCTACAGCACTTGTGTTGTTTCCACTGCTGCTTCCAGAATTTCCAGTGCTTTCACCATTAGCCAGTAACAGAGCACCACTAACATCATGGGAAAGACGTCTAAGTGCCATCTCTCGTATATTCCAGTTTCGAGAAAACAAGCAGCCGACTAATTCCATTCCAAAAACCTGCCACAGATAAATCAACGCTATAGGAGTCAAACTGAATAACACTGCAACTTAAGTGCCTAAGAACAGCAACCAAAAAGAGCACAGGAATTCTTCTGGTGAAAAATGACCGTCTGATAGCAAAAACATGTCAGAAAGTACAGCGTCTTAAAAAAAAGATTCTGTGATAGAAATGAAGTATCATAAAATGAGAAGTCAGTGGTTCTCCAAGAACTCTATTAGGAGAAGTGGGAGGACGACTATATGGATGGTTTAATTCACTTTGAATTTTAATTATTTGGTATAAAGTTCATTTCTAGATAGTGTTGTAAATAACCCTGAAACCAAAATCTGGCTATACCAGACAAACATTACAGCAGAAATGTAGGCATCAGAAGTTCTTCCATTTTTAAGTGTGTCACCTCACCCCTGCTCAGCTAAACACACTTCTGAACTCTAGAGGTTACTTAGGTCATTCAGCTCCTGCAACACAACTTGGGTAACAATAAGTGCCAGCTTTTTATTGATATGACACTTACACAGCTAAAACTAGAGCTAAGGATACTACACGTTATTAAAAGGACCTTTAATATGATGCCTGAGATGAATTTCAAAAATGAAAACCCAGTAAAACAAGACAGGAAAAATCTTCTCTTCTGATGCCAGTTAAACTCAATTCTTTCCAGTAAAAATCAACCAGAATTATTACATTCTGATGGTGCTCAGAATAAATTTTTGAATCGTTGACCTGAGAAGTCTAGCAAAGCAGTTTGAAATAAGTTTTTTACGTTTGAAGCTTCTTTTACAAAGTAGAATTACCTGAATCCATGGCTCAGCTAAATCTTTATAGGCAGAAGGGATCTGCTGGACCCCATAATGAGTAAGGTTAAAACTGCTATCTTGGGTTCTCCTCGGTAATCCGGTTGCAGATTGCTGCTGAGTTTGTTGCTGAACCACACGGAGAACAGAAGAATCCACCGGGCTTGGCAATTCATGACTGCAGATTGACAAGAAATAATGTGGAAATGAAATATTTGTTGCAGTAAATACTTCACCGTATTTAGGAACATCAACTAAGAATCTAGAAACAGGCAGCTTGCTATACACAGACTGAATGTTACCTGTAGAAATCATGAGATCTCCACTTAGATCTACAAAGAGGACAGATAAGTGGCTCTCTGTTCCTTCTGCATTCTTCTGCCCCTGTAACACAGCAACATGATAGTATGTATTTCAGTTTTACAGTGTATAAGATCAGAAGATGGCACTGCTAGTCCTAAATCTTACTGAAGAATGTTAGTTTCAGGATAAATGGGTCTGAACTGAGCCATCTGCATCAGTCTGATAAATAAGGGCATTTATAAAGAGTCTGCATGCCAAAATGCTTCAGTTTAGCACTACAATTAATATTAGCAGTTATGAACTGAAATGGAACTGCTTTTGTACCTGAAATGGCAGATGGAATTTTATTTGTTAAAGCAAACTTACTATCTATATACTTTATTTAATATAGTATGTAAGCATACTCCATAATTCACCATATAATCCTAGCTGGCAGTAAGCGATTTTCATGCATTCTAGTAACAAGTCACAAGGGGCTAAGTCTGTTCCTATCCATGCTCTAACTGGGCATAGTCTTTTCACTTGAGTAAAAAGAGGCTCAAATCTCTAGCCCTGAATTTGACTTCCTTCTCAAAGCATAGAATTACAAATTTGATTTGTAAATAACTGATAAAATCTTTTGCATATTTAGAGTCAACAGAACTTAAGAAGACAAAGATGACAACATACATATTGACATGCAGTGGTGGTGTAATTTGTTCCTGCAGCCATCTTCACACACAGTTAGGCTCTCTTCATCCAGCATGCCCAACAAACAAATGGGGCACATCTGCTCTTCTTCATCCTTCATACTATAAAAATAGATATTTGTGATTGTAAAAGTGGCATATCAGAATTCAGAATGACTTTAACAGTGAAAACAGATTAATTTCCAGTTCGCAACAGTCACTTCTGTGTAACTATAGGCCATTCATGAATCACTCTCCTCAACTTTGGTCTGAATAAGCAAGCAACCAGATTTTTAGAAGCACTGAGTACAGACAACACTTTGTTGAAATGAAAGGGAAAGTCACAAAACACATGACATCTTTTTAAACTAGGTCAGATACCAATTAGAGCTTGAAAGGCCCAGCCTTGGGCACTTACTTGCCTGGTTTTTCCTAGTGCTTCTTTAAACAAACCAGCTTCCTCCTTTCACTCATTTTGTCTTGAAAAACTAAGAAATTTTTATATTTTGAAAGCTTCCTATATTTTTTCTTTCCTTTGCACAAGGTAGTCTTCAGCTGATTACAGGAAACTAATTACTACTTGATGAACATATGTAAAAATAAAAAAAATAACAGAGGATAACAGCCATTCAAGAATTTTCTGCTACTAACAGAAGCAGATACAACAGATTCACATGAACACTAACATACCAACATGTCACATGCAGATTTTATAAAAAGAATCTCCCTCTTTTATGTGTTGCCTCCATTTTATTTACCCACACATTAATTTTTAGATTGATACATTTGGAGATTTCACCTTTGAAACCAAGGAAAAGAACATGCAAAAGCACTCAAGTAGTAGAATTCAAAGAAGAAAAAAAATAATCTAACAATTTACAACTCATAAGACATTGTTGAATATTGTATAAATGATAAAAAGTCATAACAGCTTAGTACCTCCTTTAAAATAATTTAATCACTCATTTATATTGTTTTAAAACCTATTTAATATACATGCACGTAGGGTGCCTCTACACAACTGTTTCTAGTCATAGGCACAAGCATTTCTCCAAAGTAAGGCTAGAGAAAAAGCAACATCATGTTTCTTCATTTGCCAACACGGGCACAAGTGCTGTCTTTGAACAGATGCACACCAATTGGTTTTCAAAGTTATCAAATGCTTCAGTCTTGCACTTAAATTTCAAAAGTTATTTCCTAAATTAATAAAAGGTCAAAAAAGTTCTTTTCACAACTCTGCTTCATTTTCAAACAGAAGTCATAAAGCAAATATGCCCACTTGGTACCACACTGACTAATGTATGCATGACTCGATTGTTTGCAAATACAGAGAAACGTGGCTTGAAATGAAAGCAGCTTTGAACAAAAGGAATGTAGGTGATTCTAAACCTCCAAAATTAGAAGAAAACTACAGAATAAAGCTTTTAATTGCTTTAGAAAAATACTAACCTGTTTTCTGAACTAGATGTAGAAGTACTAGATGATGACAATGTATGAGAATTTGACATGCGTGAGACAAACTTCTGGATGGTGTTACGAGATGGAGCTTTGATCCTCGAGCTACGCCTACTGTGATATTTCTGGAACAAACTCTCAACCTAACATCAGAAAAAGACAGCAACAGTCGCATTTATGCTAGGAATAGCTTGTATTTAAAAGCAATATCACTGGAGCTTAACTACTGCTACAAAAAGCTCTATTCACCTTCACAATAATGCACTAGAAGTAGCAGCAGCAGGA